ATCTTCTCAAAAGTGATTTTTGAAGAATTTTTCAAAAATCTACAGCCAAAATCAGAAGCGGCCTAAATATAACTTTAGCTTTTAGATTGTGCAGAAATTAGTATAGTATAATTAATGAAACTTTCATAATACCCATAATACCCCTAATAAAATTTAAAATTTACAATCTTCCTAATCTAAAATTCAGACTCGTAATATAATATAATATTAATATTATAACAAATAATATCATAATTATATTAATAACTCTAATATTATTATTTTATCATATAATATGATATGATAACAATATTATAATTATTTTAATAATATGATATTATAATTATAATATGATATTGTAATTATTATTTTATAATATATTATATAGTATTGATATAATTATATTTATTATATTAATAATAATATAATAATATAATAATTAAATATTAATATATTCTCATAATTATAATATTATTATATATTATAGTGTATATCATAGTTATATAATATGTTATTTAATAATAGTTTTATTGTATTATATTAAATATAATAATAAATATACATTATATTGTAATTATATATATTATATTATAGTATAATATAATATAATCGTTATTTTAATTATTTGAGTTACTATTTTAATAATATTATTATATTCTATATCATAATTATATAATATATTATATAATACTATTTTTTATTATATTAAATATAATAATAAATATATATTATATTGTAATTATATATATATATATATTATATTATAGTATAATATAATATATATAATAATAAATATATATTATATTATAATTATATATATTATATTATAGTATAATATAACATAATCGTAATTTTTAACTATCCACGGCAATTCAATCTCATAATTTATCAAACGTTATTACACTGATTTTGGAATCAGTACAGCTACTATAATTATAGTTTATCAAACACTCAACTGATTTTTATAATAACTGATTCTTCTTTCAGTACAGTTAAAAGTAATTTTTTTCAAAATTTACAACACTACCAAACTAGGCCTAAAAAATTGTCAAATTTTTTGATCATTAGACTTGAAAAAGTTTGACCTTTGACATTAAAATCAGTAGTTTGAATTGGATCGAAAATCAATAATGTCGGTTCAAATACTTATCGTGATTGAGGGTGTATATATTGTAGAAAGAATTTTTAATTTTTAATTATTTATTTATTCTTTCGGTTTATACCGATGTCTTTGAATGTAGTTTCCTCAAAGGGAGCTCTTGTAATTGACAACATTTTACGAGTTCCATGTAATAATTCCACGCACGTATTATAGATATGCATATATTTATATATTATGGCATTTTCGCCAAAGGTACACATTCCAATTGAACCATTAAAAATGAATGGTCCAAATTGCCGGCCAAAAACTGAAAATATTTGGTATGGGAGTGGCAGTGGGCTCTCCAATGTGACTTATATAAAAAAGAAAAATTATTCTTTTGGAGGAAATCACAAACCAAGCTTTTGGATTGTGAGTTGTGATGATGTGGACCTTTTTTATGGGAGAAAAAAGAAAATATGTTAAGATTTGAGATGAATTAAAATTAATAGGCCAATAGTTTACATAAATTAATAAATAGGCCAAATTACTGTTTTCGTCTATAACTTATCTGGTTATGAACCATAACTTGACAAGTTATTGTCCATAATTATCCATAACTTGTCTGCCTATGAACCATAACTTGACAAATTTATCCATAACTTATCTGGTTATGAACCATAACTTGACAAGTTATGACATATTAATTTCTATAACTAAAAATTGACCTATATACTTTCTTAAGCTTTTCATATTGGCATATTTTCTATTATTTACCCTTTTTTATTTATACCTGAGGGTCCATAGAGAGTGTCTTGACTTGATTTTTGTTGGCCTTGTTTTTTTTTTTTTTTTTTTAATTGTCTTTTAATTTATTCGAAAGTATTTTTTTTTTCTAGAATAATTTATTCGGAAGCTGTTCTTTGATTAGTTACTAGTTTTTACTTCGTTGATTAGATAATAGTTAATGTAAAAATGGAAATCATCGCCAATTTCTAATTCTATTTAGGGATAAAATCATTTTGGTATACTGTATTTTAGTGAAATATATTCTTGATACGTTGTGTGTTTTTGATAATATTAAAATGATACCTTAATATTTTAAAAAATAACTTTTTAATACCCTGAAGTTAATTTTTAAGACTTATAATGTCTAAACTACCATTCTTATCAATTAAATAGAAATTAGTATTTTAAAAAAAATTGAAATATTCAAAATATTAGAATATTTAAAAGAAAATAACAAAATAAAAACGTCATGATTTTTTTTAGATCTATTAAATTTTGATTAATTAAATAGAAGGGTATTACTCCATTAGAAAAAAATAGTATTAGGTCATTTTACATCTCAAAAATTAATTTCAAAATGCCAAGAAGATGTTTTAAAAACATCGAGTTACCACTTTAATATTAAAAAAAAACATAGCGTACTAAGAGAATGTTTCGCTATAATACATGATATCAAAATGATTTCATTATTATTGTTTTTGCTTGCTTCTTATTTCAAATTAAGTTTTGAATTCTATTGCACGCATAAGCATGTTTGTTGGGAATTTTGGTTGTATTGTTTTTTTAGGGAAAATTAAGTTCAGAATTGCCTTCCCCGCTATGTGGAATTTGTTTCTTTTCGTTAAACAACAATTTTACCATATTATAGCGGTCCACAATAAAAATAGAAAAGGTTTTCTACCTTTTATTTTATTTTTTAAAAATTTTTTAACTAGAATTTCCTTTTGAGAACATCATAAATTTGCAACATTTTTAATGCACTTGGTAAAGTTTTCATATTGAGATATATCCTTTACTTAAAAGGAGAACTTCATTTAAAGTAAACCAAACTAACTAATGAGAGGGATATAAGAAGTAAGAACTCCTCAAATAAATAAATAAAAAGAGAATCTGATATTTCGATTATTATTTTTTAAAAAGTTGCAATGCTTAGAACAGATTCAATCAATTAAAACTCTATCACCAATCTAAGAGAAATTCTTTAAATGAAACTATTACTTTTATTTATTTATTTATGTATTAGACCAACAAATCCATGCCATTCACACCTAAAAGGTAAAATATGATATATATATATATATATATATAAAAGTAATAAAGGCACTTATCGTCATGATTCATAACTTTTTTTGAATATTAGATATTTAGATCTGTATATCAAAATTACATCAAACTCCCTTAATAAAAAATCAACTTTCACTGGGATATTTTTTCATACCTACTCTAGAATTATTATTTTTTTCCTCTTTTCTTATGTATAGAATTCTCATTTTTTATTTTCAAAAAAGAAAAAAAAAAGAATCCTCTTGTTTTCTTAATCTTTCATACAATAAAAGGAGAATCCATTTTTGAGAGAGAGGATGAAAAGTTTCATCCGTTTCTCCTTCCAAAATCAGCATAAGATTACGTTTTTAAGTAGAGAAGAAAATAATTTAGTGTGGCGTGTCTCAACAAAAAAAAAAAAAAAACCACGTGTCGAAGGTCGATTAGCTGGTTTTGGTGGCGGATCCACACGAGAAGAATGAGAGCCGTTGGATTAAAAGTGGGGCCGCATGTCAGCTCATAATTAGGTCACAAAAGACGCAGCCGAAGAAGACACCGCACTGGAACGCGCGAGAAAGAATGTGGCCGACAGCATTGACAGGTGGCGCACGTTCGTTGGCTGAACTAAGTGAGTGGCGGGCCCCATCTAGAAAATACCTCTGCAGCGTCTGTTCACCGACGCGCTCCTCTAGACGTGTGTTACACACACACAGATTTGAAACGTCCATTTGTTTTGATCTAACAGTCATGAAAAATGACGTTTTTATTTTTTGATTATTATTTATTTATTAATTTTAGAGTTATTTGTGGCCCGAATTTATATGTTTGAACACCTTTTTACACTAAATTTCTGATACAACTCAGATAAAAATACTAAAATTAAAATAAAAATAAAATCACCTATCGCCCCAATCCTTCTGCTATCACTATAGACCCATAAAAAAATTTCATAATTAAAGCTCTATCACATATGTCACACCGTAAGCTTTTCAGGTCGGATCAAATAAAATTTTGGTCACCATACTCTAATACGTTTCTTTAATGCCTTTTTTCCCTGCGCGTATCTTTTTTCTTTTTTAAACAATTTACATATGCGTTATTTTGAATAGATTATGCACGTGGCTTGAAATCATTGTCTTTTTCCCAATTATTATTATTATTTATTATGTTTATTTATTTATTTATTTTTAAGTGATTTGTAGCTTGATTTTTAGTACCGTTTTGCGTCAAATTTTTAATACTACACAGATAAAAATATATAAATAATTTATATGAATTATAACCATTTTACTATCATTTTACACCAACTCTCGACTACTCACATGAAAATGTTGTAACTAATTCTAATGAAAAATAAATAAAAATGTGTTGGGCTAAATAAATCAAATCACACTAAATTAAATAAAAAATAAATTCAAACAAAACATAATAAAATTAATTAAAAATATAATAAAATAAGTTATGATTTTTTTTAGTGAGGTAATTTTTTTTCTTCTTTCATATATTTTTTTAATAATTTATATAATTGTTATTTTTAAACGAATCACGCTTAGTAAGATAAAAAAGAATCGTTTTTATTTTTTTAATAGTGGTGGTGGTGGCTCTTATTGCAATCTTTTTTATTCGATTGGAAGTTTTGCACGTGTTTCACCTACTCGTGCCTTTGCACGTGCCAATAACATGTTTTACCCCGCAAATCCACAAGCACAACTAACCCACCAATCAAAAAATAGCACACGAATTCCCACAATCCACCATAAAACTTTTAAACATTCTATTAACAACCCCACAAGATAAAAATGATGTCAAAATCACCCACCAAAATAAAATGTTATACACGGCTTTCGTTTTCGTTTCACATAAATGTACTCTCTTCCCTGCTCTCTGCATGAAGCTCTCTCTCTCTTTACTTTCCTTCACGTCTAATCTCTCTTGATTCTTTCTCTCTTCGCTCCGAAACGTTCTAATCCAGATATCGATTTTTCCCTGATTAGTTTCGTTTAATTTTCTGGGTAATTTTCCGTGTTTTCTCTGATCCGATCAGTTGAAAGCAGTATTCGATTCAGTGGGGGGACTCGAAAATTGGAAAAAACGGATTGGGTTTTCCCTTTTTCCTTTTGTTTTTCCCCTGGCGTGTTTGGTTACTGAGAAACCGCGAGAAAACCCAGGATTCTGTTCATAAATCTCGCACACATCGCCTTGAACTGACACAAACTTTATAACACAATTACCCAATTAAAGGAAAAAAAAAATACTTCTAAGGAATCTCTCTTTAATCGTAACTTTCCTCCGTTTTCTCGGTAACCAAACTGAGGGAGTTTTTATTTTTTAAAATTTTTTATTAGAATCCTTTCTAGGCGTTGAAAATGTTGGGGACAGGTTTACAGTTCGGAACGGTTCGTGGTGAGGACAGGTTTTACATTCCAGTGAAAGCAAGAAAGAATAATAATCAGAACAATAATCAGCAAAAGCAAATTCGGAGACTCAAGAGCGATAACAAGAACAATGAAAGCCCAGATGCATCGACGAAATCCATGGCGTCTGATTGCAGAAATCCCATCTCCGAAGAGCCTTCTTCTCAGCCCTCTATTACTCCTTCTAGTAACCTCGAGAGATTCTTGGAATCCACAACGCCTTTCGTTCCTGCTCAATATTTCTCCAAGGTTCATTTTCATCTTCCTTTTTTTTTTTTTTTTTTTTTTCTATTTGATGTTTTTGTTGGTGATAATGTATTTGCTGTGTTTTTCATCACTAGAAACTGAGAAGATGACAATGGATTCAGTTTACATGTAATGCCAAACTGTTTGTTTATAAAATTCAATTTGTAAGACATCAGAAATTTGGGGTTTGTTTTCGGTTGTTAAATTCATAATTACAATGACATTAAAAAGATAAAATTATAACTTCTTTGTTTTTGTATCCTTAAAAAATTGCCGTTACACACAATAGTCAATAGATATAATGTTACACCATCTATTACAGCCTATACTTCTATAGAATAAATCAACGAAATGCAAGAGAAGATGCTAAGGAAAACTAATTTCCAAGTTGTTTCTGTTAACGAAAACAAATTTCTAAGTTTAGGCAATATGAAAGTCATAAAGTAAGGTTCTGAGGCAAAATGAGATGACCCCATATAAGGGCATAAGTGAAATCACTACAATAATATTTGGTTTGATTGAAGCATATGCTATATTTTATATTAAGCTATAATTTTATTAATAATTAATATAATTATATTAATAAAGTCTATTAAGCTATAATTTTTATTTCACATGCTTGCTGTGTGTTTGGTCGCTCTAGAAATAGAGAAGAAAAATTCTTAATATGGGGATTTCTTAGAGGACAATAGTGTAGATTTATGAAGCAAAATATTACTTTGATAGTACCAAAATTAGGTATGTAATCTGTTTCTTTTGTTTGGTTATCTCGTTTCATTGGTTTGTAAGATACATTTTTGTTTTCTGGCTTGGTTTAGACGACAATGAGGGGTTGGAGAACCTGTGATGTAGAGTTTCAGCATTACTTCCCATTGAATGATCTTTGGGAATCATTTAAGGAATGGAGTGCATATGGAGCAGGGGTGCCTTTGGTCCTTGATGGAAGTGATTCTGTTATTCAGTACTATGTTCCTTACTTATCTGGTATCCAATTGTATGGGGAATCTTCTGGCAGGTCAAATACAAAGTCAAGGTATTTTTGTTTTTTTTGAATTAGGTCAAAAATGTTTTTAGCGTTGTGAAATTATTTGACCATAATGACTTCTGTTTTTTATGTCGGATGAGTAACGGTACTTTATAATATATTGCTTTTACTAGCTTTATGCAATTGTTTAGTCTCTATTCAAGCTAAAAAAAAAGTATTTATAGTCCCTAATCTAGTTATGTGTTTAGAACGTTGCCTGCTTTACCTCGCGTAGTTTCCGTATGTTGTCCTGTATTAGTATTCTTTGTTCTTGAGGAACAAAATCATCTACTATATCATGTTTCGACGAAATCACTAATGCTTTATTGTTTTATATTGTCATTTCTTGAAGATGTAGACATGCTTTGTCTCTCATCTTTATGGTTGTGTTTGACATTTGACGCTGCTTTCATTTAGAAATTTTTATGAAACTGCTTAATGATGGTGACTTTATTGTCTATAATCTTTTTCCAAATGTGATCAGGCAAACTAGCGAGGATAGTGATGGTGACTACTATAAAGATTCAAGTAGTGATGGAAGCAGTGATTATGAAATTGTAAAGGGCATGAAATTTTCTGGGGAGCAGCGAAATCTTCACCAACTAACCAATCAGACCTCTTTTAGAATGGGCAGGTTATCCTTGCATGATGAACAAAGTGCATCACAAGAAGGTTTTTCAAGTGATGACGGTGAAGCTCAGAATTCTCAAGGTGTACTCCTCTATGAGTATCTTGAGCGAGATCCTCCTTATAGCCGTGAACCACTGGCTGACAAGGCTAGTTGTTTTTCTCAATCAATTTGTAATAGTAACTTTTAGGCTCGAGCACTTCAGACGCCTCATTTTTTTACCTTGTATATGATGACAGATATTAGATCTTGCATCCCGATATCCTGGTTTGAAGACGTTAAGAAGTTGTGATCTACTGCCAGCCAGTTGGTTGTCAGTGGCATGGTAAGGGAAATTTGATCTATGGTATTATGTTGCTTTGCATAGACCCAGAATTCATTTTCTCTGGTAAAAATTTGTAGGTATCCTATATATCGGATACCCACGGGTCCAACATTAAAAGATTTGGATGCTTGCTTTTTGACATACCATTCACTTTCAACACCAATGACAGGTAACTCATCTTTGGTTAAAATGCCATCAACTATTTTCTTACCAGTAATTTATGGAACTAAAAGTGATGTCTATTTTTTTTTGGCGGAATTTATTAATTTAAAAAAGAAAATGTCTTTTCATTTTAGTGTATGATATATGATATATGTTCCTTATCTGGGCCTTAACTTGAGTTTTGCTTTTCTGCATCATGAATTGGAACTGCTGTCTTTTGCTGATGTCTTGGTTATACTATAGTGCTTAGCTAAATCTTGTCCCATATTAAATTTTCTTATGACACATATCGATGCTATGCAGGGTGTGCTAAGTGTATAGGGATAGGGCATCAATGCTTTGAATGTTGTGCTAAGGGTGTATGAGGATAGGACACCGTATGAAATCCGGTTGGCTAAAACATAGGATACTATATAAAAATCAAGTTTCTTGTGTTTCCACCATGTCAGATTTCAATAGGCCATGCAAGTTTGTGTTTTTTCATGTCATTATCAGCTAGTTTATCCATCATGATCATCAAATTTGTAGCTAAAAAGGGTAGTGGCGTGGGACCAGTCTGATTCTTTGGTTTAGCGTCCACCAAACAATATAAGGCAAAGGGTGAAAAATGAAGATGACTCCTTATTATCTCTATCTGCATTTCTCATATGCATATTATGGAAAGATTTTACATTACAAATGGATATCTCAATTCCTTGAACCAACTTTGAGGTTCAAGTTTGAACTCTTTAGTCTTTATTTTTAGTTCAAGTCTTCTTTCATAGTTCTCAGTTTTCAAGGACTTATCAAACTCTTTTTGCCTTCAAAGACCATAGTGTTCAATTAGTTAATCATTATACCTTATTGAGCGTCATATATGGTGTGGTTTAATTCTTTGTTGCTTTACTTCCCTCTTTTAGTCAGTGTGTGCTTAGGCGTCTCCCTTCTTTCCAGCGCTATCCAATTTCGGTTTAATTTTCATGGTCAAGCTGATAAAATTAACTAGTGCACTATCAATTCTCCAATCTAATGCGTGCTAAAACTCGTGGATCGTGGCTAAAAACCATAGTTGCTCTTCTGTGGCCAAAAGGTTCACTTTATTGTCAAAGTATTCTTATGTGGGTATGGTTACCTCAATGTTGTCTGGTGAAAATTGAGATAAAACATTGAAGTGAGCCTACGTCTTAAGTCATATAGCCTTTCACTTGCACCAAGAGAAAAGAAAAAGTAAAAGAAATAGAATAGTTGGCGTTCTTGTTAACAAGCAATGAATATATTCTTTCTTTGAAGGATAACTCTATTTTAGTTATGCATTATTTTCTGGTTTTTCTTATTATAGCTATTAGCTTCAGAAAATGAATCCATGTGCAAAGCACCAAATTGATGTAGAATTTGACAACTATGTTTCATTAAAAATTATGGATTTGAACACGTTTAGTTTATTCTGTTAATCAATGCACTATTTAGTTTGTTATGCTATTTTTTCATCTTCTAGACTCGATTTGAATTTAAACGGATTATACTGTTCTTTGCAGGTAGTGAAAATACCCAGGCTCCAATAGTGGTTTTCCCCAGGGAGATAGATGGTGTTCCAAAGTTCTCTTTAACTGTTTTTGGAATGGCGTCTTATAAATTCAAAGGATCCATGTGGATACAAAATGGGATCACCGAATGCCATCTAGCCAATTCGCTGATGCAAGCTGCAGACAACTGGCTTAGACGGCTTCAGGTTACTCATCCAGACTTCCAGTTCTTTGCTTCTCATGGCATTTACTGCAGGTGAAGCCAGACGATGTCTTGTGGTTGCAATTCTCTCTATTTTCAACTCCGTGATCATGAGACCTAAGAGATTACCATGCTTGGTGCAAAACCACTTCTGAAAAAGCGCAAAAAAGTTCTGGTGGCTCTGCTTGAAACACTCTTTGAGAGGGGTTTTTTAATTGTGAATTTGATGTGAAATGCGAAAGAAAATAGATGAAAATTGGAAAAAAAAAAAAAGAGGAAATATATAAACAGTGAGAACGGTCAAAGACACAGGAAACAGAGAATTATACCGAAGAGAAGTGAAAGAAGATGGAGAAGGGAGTTGAAGATGACACAAAGGTGGAGCAGCGGAGGCAAGGAAGCATGTGGTTGTTTTGCATGTTGGAACTGTTTACTCTTCATAATTATGATATCATGATGACGGAAAAGTATAAATATTTTTTGGGGGATTTTTATTTGGTTGATGTATAACAGGGTTTCACTTGCGGATCCCTTTGATAGACTAACATGTGTCTTTTGCTTTCAGTGATGGAAGATGAAACAAATGAATAGAATTATATGTTTTAGTTTTGAGGATTGTTTAAGTTAGTTTACAAAATTATGAAAAATGTTCTCAAGTTGGTATGTACTTGGTAGATTTTTTTGCCAAGATATTTACTTGGTAGATTGATGTTTACTGTAAATATTTTTTTTCCTGAAATGGTACGATGTAGATGTGCTGGGTTAAAATATGGTGTTGGTGACACTGGTGTCACTATTATGAATGAACTGTCAATCAGTGCAATGGAATGCGCCTATTTATCTGTCTCGACTCCAAATTGGAGCAGGTTTGAAAAATTAGACTCAGAAGTTTGCTTTGCAGTGATGGTTCAATCTGGAAAGGGTTGGGATGGTTACAATAACATAGTTAAAGTTGGAAAACCATGCTAAGTAGAATTTTGCAGCTTGGTTATGTGGTATCGGTATTGCCATGGTCATCGATGTATCCTCGCACTCGCAGGAGCTCACCATTAGGATAAAAAAACCCGGGATGATGTGCATTTTTTCCCCCTCTTTCAGAGAGCCACGGCGACAATTATGTCGTACGTCATGTGGGAAAATGATGGTGGATGATGGTTTTAGACATGGGAGTACAGTGCTGGTTTAAGTGGTGGCTGCTGTTGCCAACATTCAGAAAACACTAGTTTTTATTCGCTTTGAAAATTGACATTCTTGTGGTGCCTTTTCCGCCGTAGATGGAACAAAGTGTTTTGCTTCTTGGGTCCCTTTCAAAAGTAAGTGTTTTTCCCAATGTTCTTTATGGTATTAGTTATTACCTCCAAATCTTTTCTCAAATGAAATAGCCTTGAAGGGCACCTTTTGGTTATATGGAAGAGCTGGTGAGAAAAAATGAGAGGCAATGAATGAACCATTAGTGGATTCAGTGACCTCATAAGATTATTTTTTTTATTAGACCATTTTAAAAACGAGAAATCTATATAGTCGATCCCAATTAATTTAGGATTAAAACTTGTATTTGTTGTTGTTGTATTAGACCATTTTAAAATCCAAAGGGGTTAATAACATCATCCTGTACTATACAAGACCCAATATTTGCCTATTTGGGAATAAACTTATTCACAAAAAAAAAAAAAGGTATAAACTTCTACAATATTTTGGAATAAGCAAGAGCGTAGTTTACAATAGATTTAAAAGGGACCAGATAAAGAAAGCTTGGTAGACAAAATAAGCACCATCTTAAGACTTAAGTACGCTATTTCACTCGTTCTTAGTCAAATTATGGACAAAATAAGTCAAATGCCTGAAGAAGAGACTGTTTTTAGTCAAAATTACTAAAATAACCCTTAGAATACTTTTAAAAAATTGAGTTATTAGTATGTTAGTTCATAAATTTTAAGTATTATGACAACTTGGTCTTTAACTTTCTAATTTTGACATATTACTCTTGAATTTTTATTTTTTTGGCAACTTTCTCTTCTCACACTAAATTTAACAAACAATTTCTGAAATTTAACAGTGGTATAATGTTTCTATTGAGTAATAACTTAAAATTTTACAAAAACAATTACAGTATGTGTTGATGGTGGATTTCTGTCAACTAAGGATTAACTCTCCGAGAACACTCACAGTAACCTCTCACGGATTGATTAAGGATTAATGCTGCAGATTAATATAGAGAAGACAAGAATTTATAGTGGTCCGGTAAGATTTCTTGGCTAGTCCACTTGTGGATGCACTAATACTTTGTTGAATACAATCTTTTCTAGGATAGTTCAATAGTGCGTAAAAAACTTAATGAACTCCCATGGCTCTATTTATAGGCCTTGTCTACATGATAGATTTCCTCTTCATTCCCCGAGAAAATCATCCTCTATCCCTGAATTTCGGGATTTGACAGTTGTATTTCCATGATTACTGCTTCCAGGTCAGGCTGATCACCCTCACTGGCTACCTGATTTCCTGACTTCGACAGTAGTGGTGTGACGACCCTCCTATGAGGCCGCCACTGTAACTTAAACTTTAACTTGTACTTACTGGGGTTTCTTAAAATATGCGGAACATTTTTTTTTTTTTTATATAAGAAGGAATACTTTCATAATTTGTAACAATAATTTCAAATAAGTGAATCACTAAATTTCTTAAAGCTTTTCTTAATTTTAGTTAAGATAATACCTTTTAGGAATATCCTTCAAACGGAATAGCATTTGAACTCTTGTTTCAAATACTCTTTAAAAGCTTTTCTAAAACTAGTCATTTCAATCGGCCATCTCATTTAACTTTAAAACGGATTTCATGAGAAATTTTAAATTCAAGTACATCTTAAAGTCCTTCTAAAATTACTCATTTAAATCATCATGTTTAAAATTCATTTATTTGTCGCATGTACTGTTGCAACGTTCTAAAACTTAAATACTCAAAACTAGGGTTGTTAGTTACAACCTTGGTTTTCTTAACATACATATGTACGTATACTTTTTAAACATACATACTTGAAACTTTTGAATCATATAGACATATACATGATTTTTCTTAAACTTACTGCGGAAAATAACTGCGTGAGCGGTATCCATTCCCATCTCCACCATTCGTCCACCGCTCGCCATTGCCCTTCAAGAATTGCTGATAGGTTTCTTACCTACAGCATGAACATATCTGATTGAGCTTTCGCTCAGCAAGTAGGAACTATATCTCACAAAATAACTGTAAGTACACATGAATAAATATGCATGAGCTGATTATGCTTAATTATGATGTCTTATCATAATTTTATTATCTTATCTTATCTTTCTTACTGATGGGCCCGAGTGCTCACGTACCACTTGCGCGCAATCATCGGAACGTGAGGGTTTGCAAGGTCCCCCACGACACCGTGATTATAACTTGAATGCCTCCCTTGAGTCGGAGGAAATTATTGTTATTTTCTTTTTCTCCCTTGTGGAGCTGGAGTTACCTCCCTTGTGGAGACTGGTACGGCACTCAACTGATATTATTCTTATAAGTTCCTCTTGACTTATTAAGGTGTATGCAATATGACATAGCAAAGCATACTATAACATAGAATGTACTCAAATACATATACTTCATGTGCACTGCTTAAGTGTATGCAGTATGATCTAGCATAATATACATAATATTAAATTAACTCAAACACATATAATTCATGTACGCTGTTTATGTGTATGCAGCATGACATAGCATCGCATACAATACTTAAAGCATAAACATGCATATATAACATGTGTAACTTTTTCTTTAAAAATC